AGTATTTTACTGTACTTTTTACATTTTCTAAAAGCTAAAGATATAAATAGTTACCTGAAATAACACCAGACACAATTTTCCATGGGAACGCGAGAAAATAAATCTCAAAGTTCAGAGAAATTGTGCAAACACAGGCCAAAATTTCATCAAAAGTTTCATTTCACCAGTACTTTCAAACGAAGTTCAAACTTTGTTTTCCACATTTGGTATTGTTAGAAATGATTTGTTTTGAGAATATATTTCATGCATTGGCACATAAGTTTGCAATACGATGTAAATAGTCTTGATACAAAGTTTTGGGTGGATTCCTTCCTAATACTTTTAGCTTTTTGTAGCGTCATAAACACCAAAAAAAAAAGAAACAAACAAAAATATGTATTGTGATATAGAGAATCGAGGGGGTCAAAGGTGGACATTTTGCAATATCACTGGATTCATTTTTTCTCTCTTTTCATTGGCCGAGGCCCACGTGACTCGCAATTAACTGCCTTCAAATGGTGGTCTGTTCAAACGTAATACCGCCTGAAAGTGTTTCGCTGCAAATAACATTCTGCTCAAGCATAATTGTAACCACGGTCTCGGTTGAAAAACAAGCTATTAAAGAGAGATTTAAATATATAAAAACAAATTTGATTTCTTCTTCGGCAAAAAAGTTGATCTGCTCGATCGCCACTGACCGAATCACGATATTCTGCTCAACCTCGTCCAATAATTGTTAATCCACTGCATGCTCGCACTGCTGACTGCCTGTCGTATTTGTATGTATACTTATATTTCAAGAAACACCAATCAGAATGCCTCTTCAAAGTGGTCAAGTGTCCAAACTCAGGTTGCTCAAAGATGCTCAGCAAGCGAGACATGAAAACTCACAAGACATTAGAATGTTCTTGGAGGAAAGTGAACTGTGAATATTGTCAAGAATCAGTCATCATGAATCAGAGACAGGTTTGAGAACGTTTACGTCCTCTTTCTTCTATCTCGACATGTTTTTCCTTGGATATGCACTGTCAGTGACTTACCATTGGCAAGACAGGATTGAAGTAGCCGGCACCAAGATGTCCGCCATTGTTTTTGTTTCAGGCGGCAAAGGCTTTGCCGCGTGAAACAAAAAGGTAATATTAGACGTCTGCACGCTAAAGGATACTAAAGGATGAAGGATAATAGACTTAACACTCCATAAAGGACTTATTCGCAAAGTAATCCGTCTTACGCTATTCTTTTTGGATCACTCCTGGTGTAAAACTCCACGCTTTATTTCCTGACCTTTCGCTTCAGAGTTTCACAGCGACATATAGACGGACGATGTATAAATGGCGGCTAAATTTGAATAACAATACTTAATACATCCTTAGCCACGTACTTATGTTCCAAACAAGGATTTTTCACATGAACGTGACGTTAAGGATGTATAAGTAATTTAGGCGCTATTTATTAGTAGCATTCTACTATAGTAAACTAATGCAAATGCTGCAATGTGATTGGCTGAGCTAGTCGTATACTATCAGCCATAAGAGTGCAGTGGCCGGAAGTCGCCTACGAAATACGACGTCTACGACGTTTTTCTCGTTTAGACAAAGCTTTGAAGGAACATTTTGATGCAAATGGATAAATAAATTCCTGAGAAGACTAAGAGAAAAACATTAATGGTTTCTTGACTTTAAAAATCTTGAAATTATCGAAAAAAATGGTGGCCCGCGCACACAACTTCAATTTTAAAAGACAGTTCAATCCGAGCGATCTGTCTAAGATGCAAAGTTTAATAATACGTCGAGAATTAATTGGGAACCGCTATTTGAAGTAACTTTCAGTAAGAATTCTACTATCAACTATCACCTCATAGAAATCTCGAACTCATAATTCTTCACTTTCATCATTCATTCATTCTTCACTTTCATCTACTACCGCAGTTCATATATGACATCATTTCACTCCTCACGGGAAGATATGAACTCAATTAATTGACCTCGCTCCCAATGTGTGGCTTCATAGCTCAGTTGGTAGAGCATCGCACCGGTATCGCGGAGGTCACGGGTTCGAATCCCGTTGAAGCCCTGATTTTTTCAGGCTTCTTCTTTCCAATTGCTTAAATTGGAAAATTAACTGCGATGATCATTCTTCACTTTCACTTTCATAATCTAACTGTTAAATATGCGTTTCTACGCATTACGTCTCTACGTTTCGCTTCAAAATTCTCTGAACTTACGAACTTCCTTCGCGAACTTCGTGAACCAACTAACATTCTTAAAACAGTAAACAGAAAAGTTAAAAATACAAACGACATGCTACCTGGTTTCTGAAGTACCCGGAGGGTCTGGAAATAGCCAATCCTGTGACGGGAATTTTACGCACGTGACCATCGCAAGTGGCTTTACGCGCATTTTCATCCTGCACGAAAACATCCACGTGACGCATAGCTTAAAACAACTTGAGTGGGATGTCCTTGATTGAAAACAGTTTGACAAAAATCAAGTTGTGTCTTTGTGTTTCTGAACTAACCATCTGACAGTTGAAACATTGCGTTATTCGAGGTGAGGTCTAGAGTATCAAACTTGCTCTAATCAAACTTTTGCTTGATTCATTTACATCAGGGACATCTTGACATTTGCCGAAAGTTTCCTGTTCTGTGTACCAACAAGTGTGGTCGGAAAGATATTCCGCGAGAAAAGGTTTGTTTCATAACCTTCAGTTAGAGCAAAGTTAACCACAGCGGTATCTGGAGTAAAGCAGATCCCACGCCGGATTGCTGGCTGTTTACTTTTCACTTCGCATACAGTTGTAAAGCCTCTGGTGCTTAATAATTGTGAACAGTCTATTTTTTTGAGGGGGGGAGGGGAGGAGGGTCAGGGAAAGATGTATAAAGCCCATCACCAGTGGGCTTTTGCTCCGGCAAATGATGCCGACTGCACAGTAGTGAGGGTAGTGTCCATAGGGTGCAATACATATCATCGGCCGTATGGATGTGAGTCTAAGGCCAGAATGTTACTTGTGACGCGATATGATTTTAAGGTTAATGTCTGATTGTTTTGTTGTTGTCGTATTGCTGTTTTTGTTCCCAGCTTGAGGTTCATGTTCGCTATGAATGTCCTGCAACGAGAGTTCAATGTATGTACAAGAACATAGGATGTGAGGCAATGGTATGAATCTGTTTATAAATTCAAAATATTCTTATCATTAACTTCAGTGAATACAGGGAATTAGGATGTCACCCAGTTGTCATTCACTGGTCATTCTAAACTAGTTGATATATTGCAAATATGGAGTTGTATAGAGAGGTGGATAGGGCGAAAAGTATCAAGCACGTCTTCTTTTACGCTCTATGTTTAGTTTAACATAGGATGGGTGTTTGGGTATTCTCAGTAAAAGTTTGGCGTAAGGGAGAACACCCATTACGTTTTAACGTTGATTTTTAGGCGGAAGAAAAAGTTTAGCGCCCAGAAAGAAGTCGTATCATAACGAGACTCAAACCGCACATGGCACAGGCCAAGAATCGAGCCCGAACCACATTGGTGGGAGGAACCTTGGGGGAGGGGAAGGGAGTACTACCGTTTGAAAAATCGGGGATGTTAAACGAAACATTTTAATAGAACCCCTAGAGGAAACCAATCTCGGCGTTGCTCGAGCTTTTTTTGACCCCTAAAGGATACCACAGAATGGAAATGAGTGGAAACCTAAAAGATACCTTGAGGGCTAAAGTGAGAACACACCTCGTTATTTGCACTCCCACGCGAGACGACGAGATTCTCCGACCTTTTCACATGAGAGTCCCCCCACACCCACCGTTCCCCTCGGGTTCCCGTCAATGCGTTTTCTCAGCTCCCCACACAAAGCGTACTTTGGACATTTTTATAGCCGAACGGATTAGGAATTGGCTGATTGTATGGCAATAAACTAATTGATACTGTTTTCTAGGGAATTCCACAGCACTTAAGCTTGAAATAAATGTTTGGACTTTAGTCAGCCGTCGTTGCGATTTTGAATGGACTTATTTCTCTGTTTACAGTTTCCAAGATCAGACGCCAAATCTCACTCACAAACTCAAATCGAAAGCCATTTGCACTTAGCCGTCCGCGGTCTTGAGGCCGCTCAGCATCATATTAAGGAGCTTGTCACTGTGGTTAGAGATCAGTCACAACAGATAGAACGATTGATGTCCAAGGATAAGGAGCAGTCACTGCAGATAGAGCGACAATCACAACAGATAGACAGATTGTTATCTAACGATAAGGAGCAATCACAACAGATAACCGTATCGAAGATTAACCAGGTTTTGTCTACCCCATTCGAATGGACAATACCCAACTTTGAAGATCTTTAACATCAGACTCGGAACAACAAATCTTAGTTTGTAAACCATTTTCTTTGTTTGAGCGCGGTTATAAATTTTTGTTGGAAATCGTAATAGCGAGACCCCTATCGCAAAATTTCCGACGCGTGTTTATCAAAGTTGTTCCTGGAGAATTTGATGAGTTGTTACCATGGCCGTGCAAGGAAAGGGTGCGTGTTACATTGGTTAATCAGGACCTGCCACCGGATAATAGGAAAAACATATCACATGTCATTGACTTTGAAATGGGCAAGGAACCCTGTTCTCGGCCACATTGTGATGATGACCATAAATATCGCCTTAGTCTTGGATTGAGCAAACATGAGTTACGTTCATACATCAAGAACGACACCATTTTGATAAGGATCAACAGAGAAAAGAAGGATCTAAGAAACTGAGCGGCAAAACTCCCACATTTACCGTTTCAGTTTTTTTTTTATTTCAAATTTGTACTTGAAAATGAATATTTTGGCGTCGAATTTTTTTATTTTTTCAGTTGCTGAGGATTTATTTTAATACTTTACGGAAGTAGAAACAAAGCTGAAGATTGAACTTACATCTTGGTGCTTAATTTCTTAAAATACTGAAAGACGATCAGGAACGATTAGGAACATATCAAGAGAAACTTTGTTTGCTCTGACGGTTACCGTTTGCCGTTCAACCTACATAGTGTATATATATATTTTAATACTTCATCTAGTGACAAATACTAAAGGAACCGTTATCAGGCTTCCCAAACAAACTCAGTATGCGAAGTATAGCGAAGAGGATGGCACAAATAAAACACGATTCCCGAGCGATGCAAAATTACAAGTGCTGCAGTACTTCTCAGTTCCCATAGTATCCAAATATTTTTAGCGGCCCAGTTATGCATGCGCGCATGCGTCTGCTCGTTATTTTGTAATTTAGGTTATAAATTATAACATTAATGATCATTAAAGCAACATTCACAGCCCCTCAAGGAATACTATTGTTCCCCATATTGCACATTGATTGCTGTATTGTTTTTGATCAATTGTAATCGTCTGTAACCCAATCAACCGAGAAAAAGCATTTTGAAAAACTTCAACTGTGCACATAACATTAGTACCTGAAAAAGATTAGTTGCACGTAGACTTGTTTATCGGTTAAACTAATAAAAATCACGAATTAAACTTCCAACCACCTAGTTTGACTCTTGTAGGTTGAAGTATATGTGGAAGGACACTATTTTACTAATCAAATACCGTAAACTTCCGAAAGTAACGATCCCCCAACGCCCCTCCTCCCCGAAAATAGTGAAACCAAAGTTTAGTTGTATATATACTTTTTCCAGTCAACAGTCGGGTGAAAGTTAGGTACGGTAACTTGATTTCAGGCAATCTACAACTTGGGAAGTATCGCTGACAACACGATCTAGACATAAAGAGGGTCGATGCTTTCGGAAGTTTAAGGTATAAAGAAAGTGGTTATCGATACAGCTGTGTATAAACGGCAGAGTCAGTGTGTTCTATGCTTAAAAACCAGAAGGCGCGTTATCAAAGACGCATTTATGACTAAAGGGTTAGGGGTAGTCCCTATAATGACTACACGGGGAGGCTCTGCCCAAAGGGGCTGCATTTCTAGACTGGATAAATATTGAAACGGCAGGGATAACAATAACCGATATATGAGGGAAAACTACCACTTAGAACTGCCACTTTTAAGACACTCAAAATGTCCTGACAGGATATTTACCTAAGATTTTAAGGAACAACTCATTCCAAAGAGCCGAAACAAGGGATGCAGTGTGTCTTGCATAGGTATGTGAAGGCGGTACAATAATCTGAATCAAAGAATCTAGCCAATCAAATGACGTGTTTTCAGAGACACGTATATTCCTCGTTCCAAGGTCCCACCGCGTACCGGCTAACAGGGACAGGCGGCTCCGGGAATGAGAATGACTCTGATGGCATTTAATGATAAAGCAGTTTTCAGTTTTCACTTCATTTGTTTCAGATCAGAGTTTTATTCTCACACTTAAGCTGTTCTTCGTGAAGGGGTGGAACACTCAAAAAATTGTAAAACACTCGTTTGCTCGTTTGCAGCTCGTAATCCCACAACATTTCTTTCTCTCCCAAAATTCAATTCGTAGTTTATTTTTTAAGATTATGAATTTCTATGAGGCGAATAGTTAATGAGTTTGAGAATGGAATCAACTGTCACCTCATAGAAATCCAGACCAAACACGCAAATTGTTTTAGTAGAATTCTGTTTTAATTTCATTCATCAGGTAATGGCTTTCAGTTTTTTCTTTGCATTACAAGCTAAGTGGTACATAAAGCCGTAGCAAAATCATTTGCCCGGACTGAGTTGTAATTTGAAATTTGCAGCAGTGTACGCGTGCTCATCAGTTTTCTCAACAACTTTGAGATGTTAAAGTCGCTCCTATTTTTGTTCTCTGAGAATTTTTATTTGATTTAAGTAAGCAGTAGTATTTCTAAATTTACCCTGAAACTTCGGCAGAGAAACGAGAAAACGTCGACGCCGATCAAGTGTAGCCGACCTCGTGCCATGCAGTGAGATGAATGAAAGCTCAGCCACTCAGATTGCAACGTTTGCATTAGCCGGAGAGACGATGAAGGGTGAGAGAGTTAATCCCCCATATACACACTAAGACATGTTCCTAAGGTAATCAGTTCATCCCCCATATACACAATAGACCATGTTCCTAAGGTAATCAGTTAATCACTCCCATATACACTGAAGGACATATTCCTAAGGTAATCAGTTAATCCTCCATATACACAATAGAGGTTTTGCAAGGCAGCCATGTTGCATGGGATCTTTTAACAAAAAAGAATGCATAGGAATACAGAGAAACGTCTATTAAGCGGACACCCTCGGGACCTTGCCAAGTGTCCGCTCAATAGAGGGTATCCGCTTAATAAAGATTTATAACAATTACGCAATGTTTGTTAACAATTAACATCCAACGGTGCCGCTGTATTGTTATAAAGTTCCAGGTTGTTAAAGAAGCTGTCCAGAGTTCAAGTTAATCAGGTTTTATTACAAACTTTAATTTGTCTGTAATAATGCCCTTTCCTTGCTTTATTGTTATCTTTTTGATCAAGAAAACACATTGCAAAACTGAATGTTAGCATTTCTGTTTGGATTTACCTCTACGCGGATAGCCATTCAAAGTTAATGGCATTGGCACATCGGCCAAAGCATCCTGTGTGAAAGCCTTTAGGCTTCTTGTTATATTTATCAATTGCACTTACGTTCAGTACATTAGGAGACAATATTAATGACGCAACAACATTTCCTCACATACTTTTGTTTGTTCAGGAACCCCTCACCGACATTTCCAGCAGACAGAGAACCAATATCACGTGAGGAGGTAAATCAAAGCGTAAAGCTTTATATACTAAATAAAGAAATAATAAGAATCGATACTTGGAAGAGATTTAGTTAGAATTCTACTAAAACTATCAGAGCCGTGACCACTGCGAGCTCATACCACGACTGTTGAATAGAAACGCGCGTAGGTAATAACTACCCCTCCCTAGCTTTTTGGTAGGGAGGGGAAGTGATGGGATGAGTGAGTGCTCTGCCGCCCACGACAATTGATACTGAATTATGACGGATTTCCCGTCTAAATACAGTAAGCTGTCCAGAAGCTGTCCAGAGTTCAAGTTAATCAGGTTTTATTACCAACTTTAATTTGTTTGTAATAATGCCCTTTCCTTGCTTTATTGAAAGAAACTGATTACCTTAGGAATATGTCCTAATCGGTACATTTAATCGACTATTTAATCGACTATTTCAAAGACGTAATCCAATGCCATATTGTTAATTCAGTTCGGTGTCCGCTTAATAGAGGTTTTTAAAATAGAAATTAACCAAACACAATATTTTAGTGTCCTCGTCCGCTTGTCGGAAACAGGATAATACCATAGATATCAATTAGTGATCGTGAAATGTTTGTCTGGAAATCTTTGTTGTTCTTATGTCTAGAAGATTCGTATCTAAACCAATCAGCGTACTTTAACTAAGGTGTGCCTCGAAGATAAGAAACAATTGTTTGTGATTTAATTAGCTTTTGAGTCGAAGTAATCTTTCAGTCAGTCGAGTCAAAGGGTTGTGAAATCTAGCGAGAATCGAAGAGGAGAAGAATAAAATCTTGTGAAGACGAGACATTGTGGGCTATCCTTTCTAATTGCCCACACGCTTAAGAGAGCTGTCCGCTGACTAGGGGTTCGTTATAAAGGGAAATATAGAACGTTAATTTTGGGACCAGGCTAAGTGTCCGCTTAATAGCGGGTGTCCACTTAATTGGTGGTCCGCTCAATAGAGGTTTTACTGTATCTGGAGGGTCTAAACGGAAGTTAACACAGTATTCTACAGTATATAGGCAAAGTTGATCAGCGCTGTGCATATTAATCAAGACCCCTCTGTCCCCTATAATACCTCATTACAATTTGCGTCGGACATTATTACAATTTGCGTACACTTGCAAATATTACAAAATGCTGCAGCTCTTATTACAAAGTGCGTAGGTTGAATTTATTTCAAAATGCTGCACACTTTATTACACAATGCGCACATTATTACAAAATGCCGCAATTGTTATTACAAAATGCGTCGTTATTACAAAATGCCGCAGAACAACATAGCTGCCGTGCAAAACCTCTATAGGACTTATTCGTAAGGTAATCAGTTAATCTCCCATACACCCAGGAGGACATATTCCTAAAGAATCCCCCATAAACACAGTAGGACATATTCCTAAGGTAATCCCTCTTAAAGTGCGACTATGATCAAATTTTTACCCCTTGATTTTTTAGGTTAATCACATAGAATTCTACAAAAGATTAAAGACACCGTTTACCGTTTACAAATATCTGCATTAGTTCCGGAGATATCTATGTTTGAAAAATAAGTAAAATATGCAAATGAGAAGACTGATGACGTCATACACTCAGCCAAATATTACATCAAGTATATAAATAGCGCTATCTTGGTCAATT